CTTCCACATGAGTTCGATTCCCGCCTGCCCTGTAGGTGACCACATGGCGTGACAGACCTCTCCTGACCCGCCCGCTGTTCCCCTCAGCAGTGTACTTCGTAGATCTGCCTGTACTGCTCCCCACTCTGTCTCTGGTGAAGCCTCTTACCGCCCCTGAGCCTCTGGCCTGTACCCCAGCTCTGTATGCACAAATAAATAAATCTTAAAAAAAAAAAAAGGGACGTTTACAAAGATGAGATAGGGGTGGCACAAGGGATAACACGTTAACTCAGGGCTAGTAACATGTTAACTCAGGGCTAGTAACCGTGGAGCTGATACCACTCAGGTGTGATGGTATAAGAAAGAGAGCACTACCAGGATCTAGAAGGAGAGAGATGCTTAGGAATTCAGAGTCTCCCTTCATCAGATCTGCCAAGGATCCCCCACTGGCAAACCCAACTAAAACCCTAAAGCCTGTTGATTGAATCTATAGGTTTTGCTCCTGTTGCACAGAGAGGGTATAGAAAAGTGGAGAATGGCTCTGGAAGGATTAAAGGAAGCTATCTGGCTTATAGCCAACACTTACACATCCATCCTTACTGTTACACCCTAAATACCACCAGTAATAACATAATATTGACTACAGGGACCACACTCTCTTAATTCTATGGTTCACTGATTCTAACTTGTTCATTCCAATTTTCAACCTTCTTTAGGCCTTCAATCTGACACTACATTCCACTATTCATCCACTCTCCTACCTCTACTCTCCTCTCTTCCCTTTCTATTATAGCCAGAGGAATCCCACAGCCCTCCCACCCTTGAGAAGAAACTCTTCTCTTTATTCACAACTCTAAAATCCAACTCTGGTGAAAGCCAACAAGCTGCCTTTTCCACTATTGGAAAAATATATAAAATCAGGCTGACTGATAACTCAGTAATAAACTGGTATTTATTACCAGAAACACTAAGTGGGCTTTTCACTCTACCAAGAAATCCTATGCTGGTCCCGGCAGGCATGCCACTCTTGAAGATGACTGTTACTCATCTTCCTTTTTTTTGCACGTTGTACCCCCAACCTCCACATCCTCCTCTATTTACCCCCAGGTCCACACATTTCCCTGACTCTGTATCCACAGCCCAGCCCTTGCTTCTGTTACATGAAATAAGGCTCACTCCTCCTTCTCCCAACTCCTCACTTGTATACTCCAGATTGCAACCCTTTACATTTTCCAAAGAAATCTGCTTCTATCCTCGTTCCCTTCTCTTCAATATCACTTTTCCCCTAGAGGATCATTTTAACATCATATATAACAATTCCCATCTTAAAAAAAAAAAAAGATTCCGGGCCCTCCCTGGTGGCACAGCGTTTAGGTTAAAGACAACCCTAAGAAGCTACAGCCACTTCCGCATGAGTTCGCTTCCTGCCCGCCCCTGAGGTGATCTCACACAGCCTGGCAGACCTCTTCTGACCAGTCTGCTGCTCCCCTCAGCAGTGTACTTCGACGATCTGCCTGTCTCTGGTGAATCCTCTCGCCATCCCTGCATCTCTGGCCTGTACCCCAGTTCTGTGCACATAAATAAATCTTTAAAAAAAAAGTTTCCTTAACTTCAACTTCTCTATTTCCCATCCAATATTTTTCCATCCCCTTCAAAGAAAAACAAAAATACACAAACTACTTTTTTTTTTATCTCCCATTCCCATCTACCTTCCACAATCACACTTCCGAGAAAATGCTGCTCCTATACATCCCCAGTGACTTGTTTATCCCCAAATCAACACTAACAGCACATGATGTGACCATTCTTTCTTGAATCCTTTCCCTCAGTTTCCCAACCACACTAGCTGTTTGTCAAGTGTTCGATAGGTACATGTGGACAGTGAACAACGTGAACATAAACACCTGATCACACAGGAAGTTCTGTTGAACAGGACAGTCCTGATCTCTTACTCAGTCTCTTGCGCTTAAATACCATCTATATTCTGCATTCTAAATTTATACCTAGCTCCTACCCAAACTTCAGATTCATATACAAACCGCTTATTTGACATAACCACTTGAAGCTCTAACAGGCTATTAAAAAAATACCATCCTGAACAGAACATTTCATTTTCTCCTCCTCTTTCCTCACCCACAAAAGCTTGTTTCTTTTCTTGTCTATCTATTATTAGCAAATGATACCATCCAACCAGTTTAGAATTAAAAATCTAGAAGCCATCTTGATCCCTCCATTTTTTTTGCCCCCAAAATCTAATCCCACAATAAGTTTTATTAATTGTATGCATAAAATATCTCAACTACCTCCTACTTCCACTGTCTTCTTCCTAGACTAAGATTCTTGCCTGGGCTACTATCACACAAGATCTCCTGTACCTAAGTTTGGCCCATAGCAGCTACTGGATTAGATGTGTTGAGTAAATTAACAAGTATCATCCTACTGAATAGTGCAAAGTAATCTTAACTTAAAAAAAAAAAAACTTTTACAATATTTATCAACAGTACTTTCCATAGAAACTTTAGGAAACGGATTTACGAAGATAATAAAAATTACCTTCTGCACAGATTTTTGTGATTGGTTACAGCTCAAAGTCATGATGCATTTTCCCAACCACTAATACACTCTTCATGCTATTCACAGCACTGTAATTCACCCTGATGCATCTGTTATCTGCATGGTCACTGCGACTCATTTTCCCCCAAGAGAAATTTTAGTTATTGCTTCTTGCTCAGCTTGTCTTCTTTGCTTAATCTAGTACAGTTTTTACCTCTTGATTATCTACACATTAGGTGCCTGTCACAGTCCCGAACTCAGTTCACCCGGCAGACATTTTTGGTTTTATTTAGGAATACCCAACTTCGCTCCTGTCCGAGTCTGCCTCGCTCCTCCCTTCAGCCCTCCACTTTCTTGTCAGGAACACAGAAGAGTTTGACCCTACCCTTAACTCAAAATAACTCAACCAGTAACTCCAAGCAACGTGTGCTACTATACCTCTTTGATTCCTGATTTCACAGGGACCTCCTAACTGCCTGATCATCCCATTATTCCAGCTGCATGCTGAATGTGGTCAAGCTGATTTTTCGTACAGATACAGGTGATTACAGAAATAAGGGGATTCCTGAATGCAAGGGTGTCTATTGGGGGCCTGGAGACTAGTTAATTATTAATGCGTCCGACATCTGCATTGCCTGTGTGTTTATAGCCATTCTGGACACATCATCTTCAAGGCAATCCATAAACTACTATTTACCTATCCCACAATCAGTCCACCCTCCCGCAACTTCCTCTACTCCAAAATAATGCTCATTTTGTTCCCTACCCACCTGCCATCCAATAGCCAGATAAAACAGGCAAATGTCATCCTTCTCTCTTACCCCAGCCAATTTTGTGGTCTCACTTCTTTTATAAGTGGCCAAATGATATAAATATGGCCAGGAGTGAAAAAATCTGCTGTGAAGGGTTTTGGAAAAGGTTTCCTCACCCTTAACAAAAGGACCAATAATAAGGTATCTCTGGAGATTGCCAGTTTAGGGTATACTTTCTGAGAACTTTAAAGTCTTCTTTTAAATGTAAGGTAAAGAGTGAAGCTACTGATGGGAGTAGAAGCGTGGGCAGATAAAAGTACATCCTTTGTAATATTTTTAAGCTGTTTTTCACATTATGTTAACGCTGGACTTCCAACTATGCATTTTATGGAATTTGTAATTCCATAAATATTTGAGAGTGATACTGCTGACATCTAACTTACAACTATGAGCTTTTTCCATCACTTACTAACTTACAGTAAGTTTACAGATCCATATTTAACATTTATGGATTCTATTTGCAAAGAGAGGGAATGATATTCACCTTTTTACTTTATTATAGGAATGGAGGATTAAGAGGATTTGATGAAAGACTGAATATGAAAAGTACCACGAGGCTTACTAGCCTAGCAGAAAAGGCTGCAGAAAAAATCCGTAAGTGTTTTCCAAACAACGACTGATAGAAACTGCCTTACTCGTTAGATATTACTCGTTAGATAAGCTGGATCCAGGTCTCTTTAGTGATTCAAATTTAGCAGCTCCCAATAAATCCCGAGGACCACATTTTTAAAACTACATTATAGGTTCTGGCAAGCAGTAAGCAAGTTTGAACTTAACAACGGATAATACAATATAGTGCACTTATGCAGTATGAGAAAGGATTTCTGGTTTCTAATACTAGATCCGCCACCTTTCACCTTTCTAGACACGTTCAATCGTCTGCACACTTGCAATCTCAAGTGTGTAACCTAAAGGTGACAGCAAGTTATATTGGGGTGAAAGGTCTCCTCTAATCTAAGAACTTTTATTTTGCGACGAGGTGCGAAGTAAACACAAAGATAAGGAAACCAAGTGTTTGCTTTACAGTAAAATTAATCATTATTTGTAGGTCCACGAATTCTCTGTCCTGCCCCCCTTTAGTGACCTAGTTTCCACTCCTCTCTGGAACACTTGAGGTGTTCACCCTAAGCTACATTTGTCACGATTTAAAATTTATGAAAACGCCCCCAAAAGATGTTTTTTTTAATGTTGATACAAAAGATTTGAATAACATACCTGAATTCAATTTTTATACCAAGAAAACTCTCATTGGCAAAGATTTTCCCTAATGTCTTTAAGTGCAAAAGAAACATTTCCCTTGGCATTAAAACGGATAGGACATGGGGGCGGAAGAAAGGGTGTGTGAGAGGTCGGCGACGTTCGCCTTGGCCTCGGGAGGAATTTACGCGGCTGTTTAGAGCCGATGACCTCGTAACCTCGGAGAGTACAAGAGGCCTGACCTCATCTGGTGAGGAAATCAAACTTCTCCAGCGTTTCACATCCAGAAATTCACGTTTAAGCCCGGGGGGTGGGGACGCAGAAGCTTGCACCTTCGCTTCCAAGAACCGGACTTCCGCCTCTGTCCCTAAACTCCGCCCAGCACTAAGCCCGCCCCGCGCAGCAGCCAATCCCAACCAAGCTTGAGTCTCTCCGGTACCCGTAGTGTATGAACTCTGACCGCTCCTCCATGGCTGCTGCAGGCAACTGCCGACAGCAGGCACGCGTCTTTTATTTGAATGTGGGGCGCTTCTATCCTAGCGGTAGCAGGGGTCGCAGTGGCCGTGTTACTGATACTGGCTGTACGATTGTGGAAGGTGCTTCATTCCTGGGCCTTTGAGTCGCGTGTGTCTGTCAGGCTCCTGGTGGTGGCCGGATCCGGTGAGTGTCAGGGCGGAGACTGTCAAGCGCCAGTCTCACTACAAATCCCAGAACACGCCGCGCGCACCTCGCGGGTCTCCTAAGCAGGTTTTGGACTTTGCCTGCTGAGAGTTGTAGTTTCTCTGAATTACCGGAACCGATTGGCCCAGTGGGGCCAACGTGCTGGTTTTTCCCCCGCAGCCCAGGAGCCTTTTAATAACAGAAGAGCAACTTTACGCTTTGTAATTAATTTTTTTCTGGCAGCATATGTTTTTCTAGCAAATGATGGATCAGAGTGAACAGAGGGCGCAGAAGCCTTTTAAATTGCTAACATTTTAAATTGCTAACAGTTTTCTTGTCTAAAAATTGCTTGGTAGGATTCATGTAGGTATTTAGTTTAGGAATCGCGAATACTACATCTGTGATACATGCATGAGGCAAAAATGAACTGTCAGATTTATAAATATACACAAATACAAAAAATATACACAATACAAAAAACAGTTATCTGCTAACCATGGAACAGTGCACACCTTAGATATCTGTCAGAGTATAACAACTGCCCCAGCCGGTAATTCACTGTCAATGGATAGGATCCAGCATTTCTGTCGGCGCGTATGATTTAAAATGTTAATAATGTGCATTCTGCGTATAATCTCCTGAAAACCCCCAGAGATTGCACCCACACAGAAAAAAAATATTGCTAGTATGAACAACTGTTTTAACTATATTCAATAATAATTCATTACTTTATTCATTTAACATATTTTGAGTTTTAGTTTTAGTCTATTCTCCCTAACAATAGGATCATCCAGACACTGTGCTCTGGAAATATGAAAATCAATAAATATTACTTCTCCTGGGGTGCTGACTGTGTCCCAAACACTGAAAGGCGTGTGAGGATACAGCAGTGAATGAAATGGAGAAAATAGGAAAACTGAAAGAAAGCAAAAAACAAAGTGGGTACTTGGCACAATAAGATAAATGCTATAATTGTGAGTATAAACTGCACAGTGGAAGACTTCAAGAAGGGCATCACGATCTGAACTTGAGTCAGGAAGCTTACTAGAAAAGTAATGTCTAAAATGGGACTTGAAAAATAAGGAACAAAAATAAGGAACACAGTCCACATCCTAAAAAGAGTTTTAAATCCTGCTCTCTGGGGCTATTAGCAGCAATCCACTACTCCATAGTTTGTAGAATTCAGACTACAGGCCTCTAGGTTAACATAATACTGAGTTGAATCACATCTCTGCCACTTATTAACTTGGTAGTCTTAGGCACACTAGCGTTTCTGAGTTTTTATTGCCACCATGAAAAATGTGGGATGAGAAGAAGTGAGGAAAGATGTTATGGAATAGTATTTAAAATGCTTAGCAAAGTGCTTGATATATAGTGATTATTTAAGAAACAGTACTATTATTAGTCCTGGCTACAGAGGGGTCTTCTAAAGTGTTTTTGAATGGAGAGTGACCCAATTAAATGTATCCCTCACAGAGGTGATTTAGCCTGCATTATCAAGAAAATGTCATGACAAAGAATGAGGTAAGGAGACAAACCAGAGCCCAAGAATAGTCAGGTAAGAGATTATGACAGTGTGATAGGTGTGGGGGTAGAGAAAAGTATATGTATTTTTAAAAAGATTTATTTATTTATGCATACAGAACTGGGTAAAGACCAGAGGTGCCGGGGAGGTGAGAGAATTCACCAGAGACAGAGTGAGGAGCAGAACAGGCAGATTGAGGTAGTACACTGCTGAGGGGAGAAGCAAGCAAGACAGGAGAGGTCTGCTACACCATGTAGGTCACTTCCCTGGCCAGGGATTGAACTGAAGCTGAAGTAGCTGTGGTTAGCTTCATAGTGCTGTGCTTTATCCTGTTGTGCCACGAGGGAGGGCCCAATATATGAATTTAAAATGAGATTTATGAACTAAAAATCACATAGGACTTGTAGATTGAAAGGGGGATCAGGGAAGGAAAGACTCAGGAATGATGCCCAATTTGTGAGTTAAGTTAATGGACAGATAGATGTTGGAGCCATTCACTTAAACAGTATTAAATTTAAATTGGAAATACTGGGAACTAATAATGGCAAATGTGTCCTCTGTCATTCAAACCATTCAGGGTAGAGAGAGGTCAAGGATCCCAAATGATCATTCAAGTCAAAGAAAGACCTGTAGTTAGGTAAACAGTTTAATAGTTCATGCCCAAATGTTGGAGGAAGCAGGCATTTTCAATGTTTATCTTGAATTTCAAAAGATGTTTAATCTTTAGATACCATAAAATATCATTTATCAACCAATTATGTTCAAAGAACATCAGTCAGAATTACTACTTTTCTTTGAGACACCATTTGATCTTCTTGTGCAAATTTTAGATTTAATATTGAACTCCCACCTGTCTGTTCATTCAGTAATGAGTAACTTCTATTTTCTAGGCTCTGGAGATAAAGGAGAAACAATAGCAAACAAAAATCCCTGTCTTCATGGTGCTTACCCTCTATTGGAACAAGTGTGGAGTAGGGATAGAGAGACAAAAAAACAAAACAAATAAACTGCATTGTAAATTATATGGTGATATATATTATGAAATAGGGGGAGGGAATTGCATCTTAGAATTGTCAAGGGAAGTTTCCCTAATAGTAGGGTGGCCAGAGTGACAATTAGATTATGTTGCTAGGGAGCAGGGAGGAGCAAATGAGATCTAGAGGTAATTGAGGAAGGGGCAGTTACAAGAAGCCTTTTAACTCTAACAGGATAGGGATGAAGGGAACAGACCAGGAAGCAATGGTCATAATCCATGTAAGAATGAGATGGAGTGGAGCAGATTAGTAGCAAAGGAGGTGGGAGAAGTGATTGGATTCTTGGTATGTATTTTTAAGGTAGAGCTGAAGATTTTGTTTCCAAAGAATATGTAGTAATAATCAAATGGAAAACAAAGTCCATCATTTCAATAACTTTATTCAGTAACAAGTTTAAATTTCCAAAGAATGTATTCAATGAGGGTTTCCTTGGGGGCGGGGGGAGTGTTCTAGAAGCATAATGGAGTTTTAATTTCAAGGGAAGGTGTTGTGGACATTAGCTTTTATCCTTGTTTCAACTGTGAAAACAAGTACCTACTTTGCTAACTGTCACACTTTTAAATCTAGAATAAAAACACTAAAATGAGTGTAAGTCAGATGTCAATTACTTGCCCCAGATGAGAAGGGTTGACAGGTTTTATGATGTAAGTATTGTTCTAATTCCTGAAAACTCACACTTATTCTATATAATTTCATTAATATATTAATTCCTTTTGGTATCTATATAGCAACTGTTCTCTTTCAACTCTAAAAAAATGTACCCTGTGGTAGAAAACACATTGTTAATTTGTGTTTGATCATCCATTGGTGTGTTCATTGTGTCACTATTGAAAGTTGTTCTTTATACACTAACAGAGATAGAGGTAGGTGAGATTTATAAGTAAGGGAAACAATGTGAGCAGAGAAAAGTAGGAGACAACAAATAAAATGAATACAGAGAATGTTCTGGATATCAACCTGGCGGAGGCCAAGCAATCAAACTAAATAGGTGTGACAGGCTCTTTGATCAAGTTTGGTTGCTTTGCTTAAATGGTATATAGTTAATATGAAAGGGAGATGATGTGGGAGTGTTTTTCCATGAAAGAACCTCAGTGAACACAGGTGATTTTTAAACACATGGTCTTGAAATCTAATTTTGGACACTGTACAGTTTCATAAGTTGAACATGCAGCTGTTTGCTGAAGCTGTACACCTGCAGTGTGCTGAGACCTTTATTAGGAGAAGGGCTTATGGTGGTCACCAAAAGGCCCCCTGAGGAAGGACCGAGCCCTGCGGGTCAGTGCTCATGGTTCCCTGAATGTTACTTTTTAACAAAGACATTTTCCATGACCGTCTTTCCATTTATTAACCTACATTCCTGACCATGGTTCATCCTCATCCTTCTCCCAAGAATCCTACTATTTCTTGAACACATAGCTCAGATCTTGCTGTCTCATGTCCTAATATTCTACCCCTCCTATGGCCTTCCTGCTCCCAGATATCTAGTAGTTTCACCTTTCAAGCCATCACAAGCCTTGACCAGGAATATCCCCTACTCTTAGGGCATTGATTTCTCATAACCATTTGCTTGGCTCCTCCGACCATTCCATTTTTCTTGTTTTCTTGCATTGTTCTCTATGTGTTTCTTGTTCCTCTCCCAACAGATTTCTTGATAATAGGAACTGTGTCTTGTACTTCTTTCACACCTACTGCTACTGATGATTGTATTTTTAGACATTTATTATCATCTTCCATCCTGTCAAAGTAGTACTTACACAAGGGCATTGCTTATTTCCAAATTTTCCTTCTGTTTTTTTTGGAGACTCCCAATCCACCATGATAGTATAACATGGTCAAATGGATGTGTCCATGGATGTGTTTTAATCATAAAACTTTCAATATTTTTTTCAGGTGGACATACCACTGAGATTCTGAGGCTGCTCGAGAAGTTGTCTGATGGTTACTCTCCTAGACATTACATCATTGCTGACACTGATGAATTGAGTGTCAAAAAAATTAAATCTTTTGAACAAAGTAGAGATAGAGATCCCAGTACCCAGGTATGTGGCAACTTCTATTTCTAATGTTATACATTTGTAAAACATTGTTTTAGTGTCCATTGAAACAATCCATGTACTTCAACACTGCCCACACAAGGCAGTCATTTTAATGTCTTTCTTCATTAACAAGGCTTTTTGCTGATAGACCATGTTTATTGTCAGTGATATATTTCTTTACTACCAAAAAGGTAAGAATTTCTCTAAAGTAAAACTTCAAATAAAAACTGGGTGTTTATTTTCCTATACATTTTATTCTTTCAAATAGAGGATATCATTTTTTAGTTGATCATATGAAAATTATTTTATTTATACTTACATAAAACATCTAGTTCATGTGCTTCTTGGCTCTTCAAGTAGAATTCTATCAATTCTGTATGTATTGAGAATTTGATTTATCTATGGTTACTTGTTCTTCATCATGTTTGTATCTACTGCTAAAATTATTTCTCTACATCTGGCTGCTCACTTAAAAGGGCTACGAACTGAGCCCCAGCTATTCTGACTTTCAGATGTAGGGATCTATTGATGTGTGGAAGTATCAACAATTTGTTGTTCCTTTGCACATCTTCCTCTGAAACACCAGGCACTCCATCCCGTCCCAGTTCCTGGCCTAATTGCCACTTCCTCCCCCCTCTCCATGCCTCATCTCTCTGCTCCCATTTCAGTTTCAAGTTGGGATTTCCTTCCTTCCCAATCCAGATAAAATAATATTTGTTCTATTTTTTGCAATATTTTTATCTGTTTATAGAAGAAGGGTTTTCAAGTTAGTTTATATCAAGATTGTGTCAGAACCAAAGTCAAATCCATTTTCTAATTAAAGCCATAATTTTAATACAGCTTCTATAAGATGTTTATGCCAAGCTCTTGGTGTAGTGTCCCACCCATCCATTTTTCCTCGCTTTTTCTTTCAACATAAGTGTACAGGAATTTTCATTCCTGTGGTTAAAGGTCTTGTCTCTTTATAATTTACTTAGTTTTTTGGTTTTTTTTTTCCCCAGTTTCTTCAGTGAGCCAGAAAATCTGTACCACTTGAAAGCATTAACAGTGTGCCTGGGCAAACTGTTAGCCACATCACTCAGAGGTCTTTAGGAATAAAAGTTCATTGCTTTATACTTGGTTCTGTTAAGATGACAAAACCCATATTTTCAACACAAAAATGTGAAGACCTTCTGAGACGTCAGAAGATAGACATTCCAGTTGTTAATTGTTTAGAGTTACCCAAGTAGCATGGGAGTTTTCTGTTTTTTCTTTTTCTTTTTTTTTTAAGTAACATTGGTTACTTAAAACATTATATGGTCTCAGGTATACAGACTTACATATCAACCTCCGAATATAATACCATATGCTAGTCAACCCCAAGTTCAGAATTTCTTCCATCACTATACAGTTGATCCCATTTACCCAAACTGCCAACCCCTTCCCTTCTGGTAGCTAGTATTTTGTTCTTAAGAGTTGTTTTTTGTTTGGTTTTATTCAGTCACATATTTTGTTCCTTTATCTGCCCCATATGAGTGAAATCATCCAGTATTTGTCTTTCTCCTTTTGACTATATCACTTAGCATAATGCCCTCGAGGTAAATCCATTTTTGTTGCAAATGACAAGATTTCATATTGTGTGTATATACCACATCTTTATCCAATCATCTGCCTGTGGGCACTAAGGTTGTTTCTAATTTCTGGCTATTCTGAATAATGCTGCAATAAATGTGGGAGGGTGTGCATAGAGCTCTTCTTAGTGTGTTTGCATTCTTTGGATAAATGGTCAGCAGTGGGATAGCAGAATCATATGGTATTTCTTTTCTTAATATTATGAGAAATCAACTTACTCTTCTCCATGATGTCTGCAGCAACTTATATCCCCCCAACAGCATTTTCCCCTTTTCTCTGCATTTTCAGCAAAATGTGTTGATCCTGTCTTTTTTATAATTATCCTTCTAGCAAGTATGAAGTGATAGCTCTGTGGATTAGGGTTCTCTATGTATATAATCCTATCCTCTGCAGATAGTAACAGTTTTACTCTTCCTATCCTATTTGATACTTTTTATTTCTTTTTTCCTATCTAATTGCTCTGCCTGGGAATTCTAATACTATGTTGAATAATGGTGATGAAAATGGGCATCTTTGTCTTGTTCCTGATCTTATTGAGACTGATGCTAACTGTGGGATTGTCATATGTGACCTTTTTTTGCTGAGATGTACCAGGTCCTTTCTTTCTGGTCGCATTTTACTAACAGCTTTTTATCATAAAAGGGTATTAAATCTTGTAAAATGTTTTTTCTGCATCAATTGAGATGAACATGTAGTTTTTATCCCTCCTTTTATTGGTGTATATTACATTAATTGACTTATGTATATTGAGACCCCCCTGCAGCCCTTGGAATAAGTCCCACTTGATTATAGTGTGTGATCCTTTTAATATATTGTTAAATTCAGTTTGCTAAAATTTTGTTCAGGATTTTTGCATCTTTGTTCATCAGATAGTGCTCAGAAATTTTCTATTGATTGCTAAATAACTTATAATAAGAAATTATGGAACAATTTTCTAAATATTTTTCTTTGTAGAAAAATATTTAAATGCTTGCATTGGTCTATTTATTTTAGCTGTATAGCACAGCTTTTAAGCTAAATTTTAAATTAATATGATTTGTTAATAATTAATGATAGAGTTCAAATACTTTTGTTGCAGAAACTTCAAATTTCTCCTGATTGTTTTGATTCAAGGTAATTTTTAAATGATACTTAAAATATATCTGTATAAATATGTGCATATGTATATATAATTCACATGTTTGTAATTGTGTAAGAGTGAAGAGAAATGATTATTCCTGTTACACTATTAGCCTATATTTCTCTCAGTAGATTTTGCTAGCTTTTTAGGAAAAACAGGTTTCCCTTGAGAGAAATATCTCAGTTCCGCTCAATACAGCAAATGAGATGAGAAAAATGAGGAGTTAGAAAGCTAAGCAAAAACAAAAACAAAACCAAAAATGAATATTTAACTGTGAAATTACTTATATGAAGAGATCTTAGGAAGTCTTCTAAAGAAAGTGTAATTTCCACTGGGATTAGTTTTAAAGAGTAGCTAAAGTCATATCCTCCAGAAAAATTGCATAGTAACCTTTCCAAATGGGAACAATTACCAGAGTTATATAAAGTTAAACAAAAAATCACACTAAAACTTTCTTTCTGGAAAGTCACAGGCTCTTTGTTGGCCTGTGTTTTAGTAGGGACATTTACCCAAGGGAGATATGGAAGGAAATGAGGCCCAGATATTGCACTGAGGATTTTGGTTCATCGTTTTATTTGCTTCTGTATTTGAGTCTTATCTGTAAACTGCCTCCCTTGACAACTGTTACTCTTTGTGACTTCTGTTAGAGCGTGAGTTACCAGCTTTAGATAGTATCAATAAAATAAAAAACTCAGTGAGACTAGAAAAAGACATTTTCAAAAATTGTATGTAAAACTGGAGTTGTGGGCCCTCCCCGGTTGCTTAAGGAGTTAAAGCACAGCACTGCAAGGCTAGCAGAAGCCACTTCAGCACCAGTTTGATTCCCAGCTGAGAAGGTAACCCACATGGCGCGGCAGACCTCTTCTGACCCGCCCACTGCTCCCCTCAGCAATGTACTTCATCACCTGCCTATTCTGCTCCCGACTCTGCCTCTGGTGAACCCTCTCACCACCTTTGCACCTCTGGCATGTACCCCAGGTCTGTATGTATAAATAAATCTTTAAAATAAAAAATAGAGTCAGCTTTGTTTGTATATAAAGTAAAAGGAGGGGTTTCTGAAATTGATTTAAGGGATTAAAAAATTAGAGACAGGGTCCTCCCTGGTGGTGCAGTGGGTTAAAGCACAGCACTAAGAAGCTAAAGCCACTTCAGCATGAGTTCGATCCCCACCCTGGCGGAGCAGGCCTCTCCTTACCCGCCCACTGCTCCCCTCAGCAGTGTTACTTCATTGTCAGCCTGTTCTGCTCCCTACTTTGTCTCTGGTGAATCCTCTCACCACCCTGCACCTCTGGCCTGTACCCCAGTTCTGTGTGCACAAATAAATAAATCTTAAAAAAAATAATTAGAGCCAACCTATTGCTTCTGGGTCACTTAACCAGATTTCCTATTACTTTATAATTTAGTTTATAATGTTTACCAAGAAAGATCATTTGTTTATTCATTTATAGAAAACACTGAGTATCAATTCTGCATAAAACTCTGCTTATGTTAGCATATCTTTTTTGAATATGCCTCACAAGGAGCTATAGCAGGATTGTAAGTGTTTTTCTGTTTATACTACTCTCTTCTATTATTTCTGAAGTTTATTTCATATATTTTTTTGTTCCTTAATTCAAAACTTTAGATAGTAACGTATATAATTTAAAAACAAAACAAAACAAAACAAAAAAAACAAAACTTCCCTGTCGCCACCCAGACCCCATCGCTAGGGGGCGATACTGTGCCAGTTGAGATCCACCTTGCTGGTGCACTTTTCCTCCAGTTTCTAATGCCCATATAACAAAATACAATGGGTTACATATGAGCATATGACGATAATCACTTAACAAGTTGGGGGGGTTGGGGGGAGGTTGGAGGTGCATAGCGTGGCTAGTTTATAAATCATGGCTAGTTTAAAAACCTATCTATTTTCTTCAGCTTTTTTCTGTTTAACTCTCTACCTTGCTGGCTTTCATGTGGGATGTGGAGGTCTATCTTGTACTGTTTAATGCTTCCATAGCAGCCTCCTATACTGCTGGACCATTGCTTCTCTCTGTTTGCGGTTTTTCACTAAATATTAGTCTACAACAATTCTTGTACTTCTACATATTCTGCAAGTATTCTTAGAACTTTCCTAGTGTTCACAATGCAGGTGTCACTTTTGATTAGAAAAACGGTGAAAAAATAACCCACATCAAATAACTTGCTGACATGAAAGGACATGTCAGCTCAGCCCTTTCTAAGTATTGCACTCTGCTGGGTTGTTTATTGAATCCCTGTTTTGAAGTAACAG